TGCAGAGAATCAACACTATCGTGACGGAATTTCCAGGGACAAATCCGTCGCATTTTCGTAACTCACAATTAGTTCAAAATAGGCATGTCGTATTCTTGTCTCATTTTTGAAATGTCGACCCATAACTTTTGGAAATACATGACAATTTCTGAAAATACACTTTAGGACGTTTTAGCAGATTTGCGATAGAAAAATGGCGACGAAACCGTCGCAACTGCATGACAACTTGAAAAAGGGATTTTTTTTGATTTTTTGTTCCAGTTTGTGTCCCCTATACTTCCCTGTATTCCGTAAATAGAAATCGTATAAAAGTGAAAAATTGGTGCAGCGAGTAAACGAACACGTGAGATTTTAGATAGAAAAAAATTGTTAAAAGCTCTAAAAAACCGTCGTTAGCAGAATATAGGTTCAACACCTGAATGCAAAAAATTGTTGGTGAAGTAATTCTAAAGATGTTCGTTTGCTTTCGTTCTTCACCTTAAACAAAAGAGGGCGTATTCTATACTTGTGACTCAAGTATTCTTTTACAAATCTTCTTGCAGTATAGATTTGTTGATACTCGCACAAAAATAGATCGATGCGAAATTAGGAAAAATTCTGACGTTTTTGCTGTAGGTTACAAACCGTTGCTTTCAACAGCTTCAGCGACTTTTAAAAATTATTATGCCAATTTTTTATGCTAACTACTGACTTCGCATAATAAAGAGCTATATTCCAACAAGGTCTTCTCAAGTAACACCTATGCAACAACCTCAGAACGCGTTTAGAGCGTGTAACCTCTTTCATAGGGATGTCGGATTTTCCCCATTATTGGTTTCGGAAGAGCTTAAGAAAACGTGCATACAGAACAGAAAAATATGTTTTTGATTTAGTATATACTAAAATATGTAGATACGCTCAAACTTTAGTAAATTTTTGGGTACTTTTCCGTTATCCGGACCCATTTTTCAAAAAGCTCTTATAAAATACGTTCTGTAGTCCAAGTACAAATTTTCATAAATTCTACGAGGACTGCCACGCTATGCCTCCCTGCCACGTATCAGGAAAAAATTGACACGTTCTAGTCCACTTTGAAACGCTTTTTCGAAATCATTTCCGGTGAGGTAAAAGAGTATTTGTAACCACTTAGAAGCTCTCCAGCTGATTTTTATAAGAGCAAAACAATCTAGAACCATTACTAGAATATCTTGATTGCTTCTAGAAATGATTCAATAATGTAATTCTCTTCAAACTTTCCGCCATGCGAGTTTAGCCAGAAAAGTCTACAAATGATGGCTTGAAGTAGTACCTCGCTGCTGCTTTTCACCGCTTAGGTGACGGAACCCTAGCGCACTTCTCTATTCTGGGCACGTATAGTATGTTCATTGATAAGACGGCGACGTTATTATTATAACAATGTCATTTTTGAAATTGTTTAATTGAAAATAGGGTCATTATTGACCAAAAATGGTTGAACATATGTCGCTAGGTAGGGCAACACGAACTCTTGGTAAAACTTGTTTAACATATAGGTGGCATGTCAAATTTTTTTGACACGTGGCAGGTGGTTGACACTCTTTCCTATGAAGTTGGGAACAAATATGGTGCAGGGAAAGAAGCAGTATCCTTCTTTGCAAAAATGGGTCCAGATAACGGAAAAGTACCAATTTTTGGTATTTTCAGTGTCGAACTTTTGGAGGCATCCTTTTTATCAAAATAGCCAAATCTCGATAATATTTCCAAAGAAAAATTCTAAGGTTAAATATACTTTTCTCTGAGCTCCATTTCAGAACGGCGATTCGTCTCGAATTGACACAAGCGTATTATCACAAGTGCAAGATTTCTTGCTCCCTCGCTCTGGAATAACGGTTGGGAACTATTCACAATTTTTCAGTCTCAGTTAAGCCCATCAATGTTTGAATGGATCTCTATCGGCGACTTTTAAATCGCCACGGATTTGCTTCGCTTCAGTGGTTCAAATCATGACTCTCATTGAGCGAACGAGTTTTTCAACTTTCATAAAACCGTATAGCTTTTCACGAGGCTGCAAATAGATCGCAACTGGGATTTTTTGGACAAAAGCTGCTTCTAGAAATGCTATCAAGTAGTCTAATCATAGAGAACTTCAGAACAGCAATATTCGTCAAAAGGATAATCTATGATTATTATCGTTTTCAGGAAGATGAGCAAAATGCTCACAATCAGCACTCAGGTCTACCATTACTTCACTATAAAGCGATATATCCAATGATGGTTGAAACACTTATGGTACCGAAATTTTTAATTACGTCGTTTCATTTTTTATATTCTTGTCAACTAAATGAAGTTCCGCGCGGATTCCAAATGCATAGAAGCTAGCTATTGCAAACTTTGCAAATACACCAATTCTGCTTACACAAAGCGCACTTACGAAAAATTATGAAAAATTGTAGTAGTGCCAAGGTGCGCAGTTGATGAATTTGCACGAGGTACATATGAACGATGCCCTTTGGCTCTGGGCTTATCTCACCGATTTCAATCGCTACGCGAATTGGCAACACTTCAATTGTTCATAACTCATTGTAAGAAGTTTCTGAATGTACGGAAGATAGGGCACTTCATCAACCTGCGAAGGTTATACATGCTGTACGTTTGGAGTCTGCCAGTATAGAGTTTGTCATTTGGCAAGTTGTTAGGCGGGTGGCGACTAAAATTGCATGAGGTATATCCACGGGCTTAGCGTTGAACGCTGGTCATTAAAAGGTTTCAAACGTCAACATTAATAAAAATTCCGCGAGACTTTTGAGAGTTGATTCATGCTATTGGAAGCTAAATCCTGGGCGAATATGTAAACTTTACAGTTTATCATTCCTGAAGAAGTCTAGAATACAAGCTTTACTTCGATTTCGTTGATTGTATGTGCTTCGTAGACTTCTAATGCGTTTGTAGCTTTAACATCAAACACCAAACTTTGTAGCTTCATGGACTGATCCAGAAGTTGAATGCTCACATCTTTCAAAAGGCTCGTAATGCTGCCTATATCTACTAACAATCTATAACTATTATCATCAAAATGAAATATTCGTAAAAGCACAAGAACACGTAGTATGATGCAATTTATCAGATCATATCTTATATTTAATTTCTGAAATAGCAGCTTGTAGTATCCCTGTGAGTCACAGACTTGAACTTCTGGCATTTCCTCATTTCTATGAACTAGTAGGATCCATCGTTCTGATTATGACATTGGCCGCTTCGCTCTAAGAAATATCTTGAACTGTTGTTTCCATATTATTGTTATCAAAAATAAAACAATATTTTCAGAATGTTAATCTCCAGAACAATTTAAATCGTTCTTATTTACTTATAATTTTTTTGCGGAGACAACGTCAAGGTTTTACTGTTACATATCAGCTACCAAAAAATTTTATCAGCAATAAAGGACGGTTTTGTCCTAACTTAGCTAGACTTCCAAGAACTCAGCTCTTTACATTTCTATGTTCCTTTTTCATACTGTGCTGTAATGTATGCACAAATGAGTAATTTTGTGAGTATGCATACATTTTCTCTCTACTTACCGGATAAAGTGAATTTCTTCTTGAACAGTCTACATCCGACTCACTGGGCTGCTCTTTTTTAGAGGTACTAAATATTAGCCAGAAATTGTCTAAAACTTTTATACGGTTGCCAAAGCAACCGCTTTTATCTATAAGTAAATTTTATGTTTGTGAATCAGCAGAATTTTGTACGGTACCTTTGGCTGGTTAAAAACGACTATTTAATCAAGAATTTGCGAACAGACTCCAACGTTTCAAGTAGTGAGGAAATGAGACCTGCTTCCAATTTTACTTTCCTTCGGCTGCTTTCTTAGTTTGAATTGTTGGCGCTTCTAAAATAAAATCATTCCAAGAGACTGCATCATTTGTCGTCCTAGTAATCAAGCAAAAGCTCTCGCAAGTGATCAGGGCATTATATCAGCTAATCACACTTCTCTTCATAAAACATTTGTGCCCATTCAAGATTGCTATCCTCTTTGTTTTTGGAAATAGAAGATCACGGCCTTGCATCAAAATATCCTACATTATCACAAAATTTACGAATGCTATTAACTGGTGTTAAGTTGATGTGACCTTCCAGAAGTCAAGGCCATCAGTCTAAATGATAAACTAAATTCATCTCAATCGACCCAGCCAGATGTGCTGCATGTTACCCTTAAGCTCTCTGAGTGATCAAACTGCACTTTCTGTGTTTTTAATGATCCTGATGGACGTCACATGAAGAATATCTGAGTGCTTAGCAAACATTGAGACTTTGGTAGATCGCGCTGTTCCTCTCAGTCTGTTCTTCTAGGTTTCCATTATGCGCTTCATTGAGATAAATCGCTTTTTTTCCACTACTTCAACAACTTTTGATTTTGGCATATTTAATGTGCAGAAATCATAGAAAAGTATCTGGAGTTATTGAACAGGAAACGTAAAGTACCGATTAGAGATTGCTCATTTAAGACGTAATTTTTCTGATTTTTTGTGTTTAAGTTACATGCTCATCCATGCAACGTTGAAAATAAATTAATCCTTCTTTTTCTTATTTTCGATGGAATGAACCGGAACATGAAATGAAAATTCTTGCCAAAAAATTTGATTACTTGATTATTTGCGGCTTTTTTGTCATAAACTTTTTTTTTGCTATGCATGTACTGCTACATTTACTGTACTATGAAAATTCATTTCAACTGATGCACACGTATGATTGGATTATTTGTAGTTTAATATTCGTGATGCACACCATGCTCGCTATTTGACGACTTGTAAGATGAGAACCTTTTTGATTTCAGTGATTATCTCTCGTTTTCCTGTCTCTTTGCATTTGTTTAAAAAGTATTGGTTAGTATTGTACATTTCGAGTTTTACGCTAGAAAAGTAACAAATTATAAACAAGGGTGTCGTCTTTTGCCGCGCATAGTGTGCAGACATACATATTAATTACAAATGACTCGAGGGAATCTCGTCCTCAAAGCCCTCATGAAAAGTTTCTACATTGTAGCAGTGGTAGTCGTCGTATGTGCTGTAATCCTAAACGCTGTGAGTACATCGTTATCAACCTGAGCGCGGTGTCGATCATATGTCCGCATCCGAAGCGTTTGGACAAGGTAAATTGAAAGCCTTGTACAATTTTATTTGTCGAACTGTTCATTTCACGAGCTTGTTGCAGGTGTCGAAAGTATTCTTTGAGGTTATTTACTGAAATTTTTTTTCGCATGTCTTGCACCAGGCCCGAGATGTACTATTTGTGAGCACCAATTCACCCGAATTTCGAAGTTTTTTAGACTCATATCAGACTTTCTCGTATTTTAGTATCAGTTCAGTTCATCATTTGTAGATTCATCAGTAATAATCTGATAAATAATGTAATGTCAGCAAGTTGCCGATTGCGCAGAGTTGAGAGTTGAATTTTTTATGAAAGATGACTCTAAAGTGTCATCAACGACCTCGAGATAGCTTTATAATCAGCTCCTAGATATCGGTATACTCTCAACATTCACTTTATTACTCTAATAATTAATCATGATCCAAGGCGGATATACAATATTGCTCGTAATTTTTTTAAGAAAAGACGCGCAGTCGCCCGATTTATGTGATATCACCGTAGCGTCGCCATATCTCGCTTCAGAGTCAACAAATTCTAGATTCAAAAACACCATTCGATCCAGCTCGACGCGGAGCATCTTCTGCTATATATAGGCAACTGTTTGGAGACGATATGAGACCAGATTCTTTTACTCAGGGCAGGTCGCTCAGTGAATGCAATGAGTAAGCACACTGAGTAACCTACCGTGAGCAAAAATCTGAAACGAATCATGGAATCCGTTTCCTTCTGTATCCAAACAGGCACGTTTGAATATCAGAAGATGGCGAGCTGTGTCGAATGTTGCCCTTGGATCAAGAATTGTCCACTCCAAGAGGAGGAGTTTCGGAACCAAATCTCACCATATAGTAAACTTTAGGTGCACAACAGATTCATGTAAAAATTTTGGAAAAATTATGTGAATTGAAAGTCTTGCCCACCTCAGGTGGGCATTAGGTGGGCAATTGCCCACCTAATTTGGAAAAAAATTAAGCACGCTCTTCATTCACATAAGTTTTTCATAATTTTTCATACATTGTTCCTTAGTCCTACTGCGCGTATACACACCAAGTCTCGCGCGATTTCGTTTTCTCTGCGCTGCAAACGAGCCATTTTTCCATTTTCTTGATAGTGGGAAATTTTCAGAAAAAAGCTTGCCACAACCTTCATTCACATAATTTTTCAATATAACTTCTAAGTTAAGCCCTGCAGGCCCTTGTTCATGTACCTACCAAGTTTCATACCGTATGGTCATCTGTGCGCTGCAAACGAGCCATTTGAATTCACATCTTCATTTACCAATTTTGCGAAATTTTTGGAAAAATGCTTATTACACCTCCCATTCATTTAGATGTTTCGATCTATTCGTCATTCTGAATGTTCAACTAAGACAAACTGCGTGGAAACTTTTCGCTTCTCTAAAATTGCTACCAAAGCTTTCCTATACGCTTAATGTGCACTTAATATTTTTTTCATCTATGAATCACATCCGAAAATATCATGATAAAGCAAAACAAATAGATTGCTTGGTATGCCCTATAGCAGTTCTGAGTGGTACCTTTGCAAAATCTTTATAGATGTGAAAGCTTTATTTTGGACCGTTTACCTGATTCAATCTGGAAACATGTGCTTGCATTTCTCTTACGCAACGGACCCTAGAATAAATCGCGTCTCTATGGTTTCTTCAAGGTTTTTAGACTCCATTAAAATGTTAGTCGCTCACACTCTATATTTGCAAATCAGTTGAGCATAAATTCATTTGGCAGCTAATGTCGAGAATTGAGAGACCGAGTTGCTCAAAACTCTCAGAGTTGATTCAGCTTTATTGTTTGAATTACAGTCACGCCTATTACATGGCAGTGTCATTTGTTAAGTAACGTTATTTACTTTTTCCCATCTGTCTGTCTCCATCGTGCTTCCTTTATCTTTTTTCCTTTATTTTTTTAAGCAAGGAGTGCTTCAAAGAAAGGCTTCAATTTTATTGTTTTTTGGATTGCATAGAAGTTAACATTAAATCTAAGGTTTCAGCTACGTTAAAGTCAAGCACTTTCGGTGTTCGCATATTGCAATAAAAAGTAGGCTGTGCTTCATCGAGATAGTGTAGAAATATGAAGCAAGACCTTTAGCGAGTGCGTGGAAAAGACAGCCCCGACAATCTTTCACTGATCCATAGTTTTGGTGTGTCTCAGCTGGGAGGGTGCATGTCATTTTGTTAGGAAAGAAGCTGGCAGAATTTGGAGTAACACGTTGTGAACAAGAGGCTACTCATTCGCATCACTTTCCCCTTCAGGGACATGTAAACTGCTATACAAAGACACTAATTCTGTTAGGGCATTTTTGACCTCATTTTCACCTGCATATTGGAACCTCCATCATTCTTCTTGTTCATCTTTGTAAATTTTTTGCAATTTCCAGAAGCATCAATACTAACACAAAGATAGTTTGAAGTCTGAATTTTCTGTCAGTGCAAGTCAGGCAATTGCAATTATAATTTAAATATCGTGAATATTAATATTCGAATATCCTCGGAAATTGATGTTTACTTCGAGAATGTGGCATGAATCATAAGTTTTCAACCGTACACAATATAATCGAGAAAACTCTCAAAGAAGTCATGAAGATTTTTTCTATTCTTCAAAATTCTTATCCTTCCATTCGCGATCCTGTCCTAGAACTGCAAATAACCAATTTCAGTTTCTTGTAAAACTTTCCCTTCTGAGCATGATATTCACTTTCTACTGTTCCTCACCTCCATGTAAATTCATAGCGAGATAGTTTCTTAATTAAATATAGTTCACTCATTGGTAATGAAGCCGTGTTATTTCTCATGATACCTACCGAACCTTCTTATGTGCAGCAGCAGTTATCGTTTTATGACGCTTACGCCCCTTTTTTATTCTTGCAGAGTGCGGAAGAAGTTGTCACTAAGATTTACTTTCCGTAACGTTTGCTATTGCGTCACTAGCAGAAAAGAAAAACTTCGGAGGATATCCGCTTCAATCACTTGAATGCTTGGATCAGACCCATTTATTTGATAAATAGAGGGAGTCCAGAAAATGCGTTTTATATACACGCCAATACAGAGTAGACAGAAGTCGGTCGGTACAATTCCATCCTCTTGGTCACTATACGTACGATTTCTCCTTCCTGTTCAGCGTATAATCTTTATAAAGATTGCAGCTGCGATATAATTTTTTACGTACAAATCTAGGACTAGACAAGATTGGTACTGTGTAGCATTTGGATTCTTCTATATTCAATTAAATATATTTTGAGACTTTGCTTTCCGGAAGAACTTATTTCCATCGTAAGGCATAGACCACATAGTCACAATCACTGACAGAAGAGTCCCAAATGTACGTACAATTATTACAGTTTTCTTTCACGCAAATTCACTTGCCGTTGTCTGAGTACTTTACTTAAAGCTGGGTTCAACTTAGAAATAGATTTACGATGTGATTACGATATCTATCATGATAGCATTACGCTAGGTTGTGACAACATTCTTCAATGTATATGATTACGCAATTCAAAAAGATCGAAAGCTCGTAGAAAATCATGTAGTGATAAGCATGCTTGAAAATATTGTCACATCACTTTCCGACTTTTTTGACGAGTTTCTTGAACGGCCTGTTTTACAATGGCGCTGCGTACTGAGAATTCCCACCGTAATCCTACAGTAGTGAAAAACCATCGGTGAATCACTTCAAAATGTAAATAATTTGATTAATTAGACAGGTACAAAGCTTCATAAAGTTGCTGTACGAGTATGTCCAGACATCGGCAAAAGAATTTGTGGGTAGAGATATATTAACACATTTACGACAAGGCCAATTTTTCGAATACTACCGTTCTGACCAGAGCCTTTTTTGCTCTGTCATAGTCTTTTAAGAAGAAATTGAAAACAATGTCCAAGAATTTCCCCGGGTTTATCGAAGGCGTTGATTATCAAACTATGACTTATTTTAGTTCTTGGCATTATATGGTAAGGTTACAGTAGTCATTGCACCAATCCAGAACTATGGATTTCAATGAAAAATTATGTTTTGGGATTATTTCACGTGCTGACCACGATTACAGTGTCCAATTTGTTCACTACTTTCCCTCAGAGAGGCCATGGTAGCAATACGGTAGAATTTTCGTAACAAGAAACTAATGTAGGAAGACGACGATAAGTGCAGTTGAGACTATTATTTTCGTAATCAGCATGCTATAAAACCTATATATGTGAGAGTTGAGCTTCTTGCGATGAACAACGAAAAAAAATAAATTCAATAGAATCGGCAATTTTTGATGGGGTAGCATCAGTCTCTTGCCCGCCTCGTATCTCCTGTGAATGTAACTTGGATGTACAGAAACAGCACCATTCTAAGGAAATTTGAGCTAAAGTGTTTGCCTTATCTTTATTCACGGTATACCTACCGTAACATTACATTACAGTATCCCGGGCCCGGAACACTCTGGCTGGAGCTTCGCCTAGGTATCCTTAGTCATGTATCTGAACTCCGTAGAATTTCATCGTGAATTGGCAAAGCTAGCTTTAGAAATCTTACAAGGGAGGTCCGATTGGTCGAAGTAGCCTTTCCAAATGAGTCTTGAGTCACTTTGAAGAGCATTGAACGGCGATTCCAAATCTTCTATCATTATCTGCCGAGCGCCTCTGCATGCCGAATTATAAATATTTTTTTTGGTTCGAAAAATGATTGCATAATCTTGGTAAAATCAAATTTTACGGTCTTTTCAGCGCTCAAATAGAGCAGCTTCAAGTATGAGTGTTTTGGACAGACGGTATTGTTCAAACGGAAACTGATATTCAACATTGGACCATTTTAGCAATTCTGACAACTTTTGTGCTAATTATGCATTTAATTTTTTAACTCAAAAAACGCTCATAACTCGACGTCCAAAGGCGCTCTGCAGATAATGAAGACAGATTTGGAATCAGCGTTCGATGCTCTCTAGAGTCGTGTCAATTTCATGTGAAAAGGCCACTTTGACCAAACGGACCTCCCTTGTTAGTACACATCGATGGGTCGTATGTCGTGAATGTGTTAGAGATCATTCAGTGTTTGTGTGCATACGGGAGACTTTGTATAACACTTTCGGTCTTGTTACTTTTCCACTGCTTAGTCTCTGCTTAGTCTCTTATTGAAGTGCTTCTTGTATCGTCGTTCATCACAGCATGAGAAATGTTATTTGCTAATGGCAAAATAGTTCTTCCCAACTTTGCAAATCGTTGGAATTTATGGTGATAATAAAGAAGGAGAAGTGCTTCCGCTCTACAATGAATCACTATTATATTTGCAATCTATCCATCGGACTTGCCTCCAACTATATCTCCTAGTCGCAAAGTCCACCTCTGAGTGGAGTAAATTATTGCCACGTGTGCTCCAAAAATTCAAAAGATCAAGCAAAATGTACTTATTGTTAGGTTCTATTTGTTCAGACGCTTTTTGTCATGTAAAGTACAACAGTTGATAATGCTTTTCTCATATATTTACACTCTAGAATAGCACGATAAGCTCAGCCACTCCTCCCGGTGCTATCAGAGGGTCTTTGCCCTGTACGGAAAGAGTGTTATTTTTATCGAACTTTCCAGCTATTTCATACAAAAGCTAGGGCTTCATAGAAAAAAACAAAGAAAAAATAATAACTTATACGTTTACGTATTTGCGCATATTCGTGAAGCTACAGCAAGCTCAAGACAGCCATTTTCCTCATCGAATCGAACTCCTACAGAATCCTTTGATTACTGAATCAAGTAAAAGCTTCATGAAGAAATTTTCTATGTTTTTGCTTTAGTCACTTGTGCATTAACCGAGCGACTGAGTAGAAGGAGTTAGGACTAGTGTACTAAACAGCGGTCATAGTCATAGTAATCCTTGTGTAAAACACATTTTGGTCTCCGTTATCAAATTACACTTCGAAAATAGTGAGAGCTTAGAACGACAGCAATTTTGCGAATCTGGTCCCTTGCGTTGAAGTGATGAAGCAATTTATGTGGGCTCTAGCTACCTTGGGCTCCGGTGCCTGACCCTTGCTCGTGATAATGACTTCGAAAAGAGTTTGCTGTTGATCTTTGCCCGGTGGGGACAATCGGCACCATTCATACAAGCTGCTTGTTTCAGCCAGGAAGTGGGCGTGTGTTCGAGGGTCCGCCCGTGCCAGCGGAGAGGACTTCGCCATCCATTGACGGCAGCTCTGGCGAAATGGGAGTCAGTAGCAACGTGCAGGTGGGTTCCCCTAAGAACTTCCCGGTCAACAGTACCCCCCCCCCCCCCCCACTCGTTGCTGCCATCGTCGACAGCGAATGTGTTTGTATTGTCTCAATAGCGCAAGAGTTGCGCACATGTTTTTTTTCTTCCGGGATGTCAATTCTACACTGCTGAGGCGCTGACAGCGGGCAGGGTCTTGCGTACAAATTCATCCTGCTCTTTTCACTTTTTCAGATGGATAAGTCCGATTCGGAGCCACGGGTATACGCTAGACGATGGGCGATTTTGGTGATGTTCATCATACTCAGTGCTTCGAATGGTGCTCAATGGATTATGTACTCTGTGATTGCACAAATTGTTGTTGATTTCTATGGTGTCAGGTAAGATTCATCATTTCTACCTATCTCCTTGTAAGCTAGAATGGGCATCAGAGCCTTGAATTCTGTACTTTCTCTCTTCTCAGTTGGTAGAGGGTCATAGATCTTCTAAACCATTTCTGTAGAGCCTAGGTCGCTGTAATCAAAGTAGAGTACAAGGAAAATTTTGCAGCTACACTGCTGTCGACTGGACGAGCATGATCTATATGATCACCTACATATTCCTGTTCATTCCAGCATCGTGAGTTTGAATTTTAACCCTTGAGTTATCTCTGGAGTGTACATAAAAACGTACATACTAAACTCCGCGGGTAGTAGCCGAAGTATTTTCTCGGAAAACGTGGAATTGAGAATGTCTTCAAAGTTGCGAAAGAGAAAAAGTGTAGAATACGTTCAGATGTTCACGAAACCCTCATCACTGCAATTCAATCACAGTTTTGGGGGGGGGGGGGGAAGATGTTGAAAATTTTATTAGTATTTAAAAGATCTTCTAGGCAGCAGAAGTTTCCGGTATGAAAGTGCTTTAACATAGACAATTTATTACGTGCCAGAAAATATAGCTGTATTCTCACTTCCACACTTCATTATTCATCCATGAAATGTTTGTGTTAATAGCACTTGGAGGCACCGTCCATCTAAACTCAAGTCCCGTTGCAAAAAGTAAATTCCGAAGCGGAAAAATGCTCTACATAGAAACGGCCAAGGTGGCTCCGCCCATATGGGTAGTCCAAAAATAATGTGTGCTAAATTGTGCTCTAAATGGCTATATACAAAATTGATTCTTGACTTTTCTACTACTTAAAGCCTAATTCAACACACACTACTTTCGAATCATCCAGTTTGATGGGCGGGACGGAAGTGTAAACTAATAACTCTGGAGCGATTTTCTCGTTTTGAATTCATTTTTGCAGGTGGATCTGGGCAATTGCTTAGCCAGGGGCTATCAAGCAGCATCAACTTTTCTCCAATGACGAAACGAGCTTAAGTTGACCCCATCAGAAATTTCTGATGGGCCCTGGTAGTTGGGCTTATGTTACTGACCTTATAAAGCTCAATTAAGCCATTCTAATAAGTTTCAATCGTGGCGGATGCAACTCTAAACGCTCATCGTTTTTCTTGAACAAGTTGGCGAGTGCTCTGATCTGGAGAGTATCCAGGATGTTGACTTACTCTTCTTAAGAAACCCATCAGTGGCGTACCGAGGGGAAGGGGGGGGGGGGCGCCCTTCCCCCCCCCCCCCGAGAACGGGTCGCGAAATTTTTGAAAGTTGCTTACATGGGCTATAAAATTGTGCAAATGACTTGTTCATACTTACAATTGATTAAAAGATTTTTTAAAAATTTTTAAAAATTCAAATTAGCCTTAAAAAAATTTTTTTCGGGGGCGTGGCTGACGCCCCGCCCCCTTTTTCTGGATTTTCGGGGTTATGAGATCGCAAAAATTTTCGGGAGCACCTCTAATTTTCGGAGTGTGTGGCTGACGCCGCGCACCTTCATTAGGAAAAAATTTTTGTCGCCCCCCCCCCCCAAGCCGAAATCCTAGGCACGCCACTGAAACCCATGTAATTAGATTTGGCTGTTTGCTTGAATTTTTACAGTTCGAATCTAGCCACTCTGGCTTAAAAAATGGTACGACATACTCTCTACTAATGAAAGCTGGTAATTTTGTCAACTGTTTCAGCTTCACCGAGCGTGGATGGGAAAGGCAGATTAATGCAAATTTTTTTTCGTAAAAAAGAAATTGAGTCTTATTAAAACTTTTGTGGCTTTCCGGTTTTGCAAAAGTTATGCTTGAATGGCTTCAACGTTGCTCCTTCTCCTAGTCCTCTTTCAGGGAAGTGTTGACAATGCACACACATTCTTTTATTGCACTATCTGTAAGCTAGGTGCACGGTTGTCCCGATTGCGCTGTTTTCATTTTGAAAGCTATATGTTGAATTTTTAGTATGCTTTTTCTTTGTGATTTATGGGTTTAATTGAGGGAAAAGACCAAACAAATGGCCGCACATACAGCCGGTTAAAGATAAATGGAGAGCTCGCGCCAAATTTGCATAAATTCTTTGCTGAGGACAGAATGGTTTTTGAGTCACATAAAGAAATTGAGAAGGAGTTGGCCTGAGAGAAGACATTACTGTTTTGGTTAGGCTCAGCCCAAGAAACAGCGTCAAAGAAGCTAGTAGCTCAGCACTGCATTTTCACAGTTTCAGATTTGGATTAGAAGGTGCTTGTGGAATAAAACAAGCATGAACTTACTTTCTAAATTATATGCGTGTTTGCAAACTTAGACTCTGCAAAGCAGTGATGGTTTGAATTGAGTAATGAAATGCTGGTAACTTTTTTGCCTGCTTTGTAGAAAGAATTTTTTTCTCACTCTAGTTTGACGAGTGCATGTACGTGTATTTTATGAAGCATTTATGCAAAAACAATAAACTGAAATCGTATGAATCATCATCAAAATGCGGGCTTTTACAGAACCTAGATTTAACCTGCACCATTTTTTGTGCTCTTTTTCCATTCCGCTCGTGTCACATGGTGCAATACTACTTCTTAGTTTTTTGAAAGGCAAGAACGGAGCAAACCTTCGTATGTTGATTTGCTTGCATCAGGAAGCAGGTCCACAGCTTCGTAGTTTCGTTTTTTTGCTGAGCAGAAATCGTAGCACAAATATTAACTCAGTTACTTCCTATACTAGTAATGCCCTTTATGATGCGTGAAAATTCAAAAAAATGTTTTGCAGTTATGGAGGTCAGCTTGAGGCTAGTTCTAAATTCTTCCAAATTACTAATTTAATTGCTAGTAACGTTTTACTGATTTCATTGCTAGTAACGCGATGCAAGAAAATTTTTTGAAGCAACCTAAGCGGATGCAAGCATCCAAATTGAAAAGCCTGTTTTTTCAGCCAGGATAAAAAATAATAATTATTCTCGCTTCCAAAAAAATTCTCGAAGTTGAAGTCGACATGCTTATTTCTTTCGTTATTTCTTCGAAATTTTGCACAGCATGACGCTATCTGTCAAGTCTAATTCGTATCTTCTGGGTGTCTTATAATTTTGCAACGAAGGAAGTGTTGCGGAAATGGTTGAATTAGCGAACTAGCTCTTTTCTGATAACCTCTTGCAACATTAAACTGTAAAAAAATGCAATACACGTAAAAACATTCTTCCATTTAATAATTTTCACAAGCTCACATCTCTCATTTAAGCTCTACGGAGTTGGCTATTGATTTACAGCACGTTTCGAGAAGTTTGGCGAATCGTATCTATTTGCTTTTCTGTGTTGTCTACGCTGTGAACAAGCTCGGGTCTCGTAGAAACACACGAGGATGTGTTTTGCTAAAGCATCAAATTTGACTTACAAGTCTCAATCTTTGGCTTCCAAAATTGACATTATTCTAATGAACTGGTAAACAAAGGCGAGAAGAGAACACAAAATTTTTGAATGAGTTGATTCTTAAAAAGCTGCTGAAAAGAAACTCGTTCTAATACTTTCCTGCTTTTCGGACCATAGGTATATCGAACAGCATAACCGCGAGTGATCTCTGCTTTTTTGTGGTACAATTGAACTCCTAAATCTTGGGAAAAACGGACTGCGATAAATTTTTCCGTCGCTGCGTTTTTAGGGTGAAAAAACAGTCAGATTGCAATATTCTAAACTGTTAGATTCGTAGCAGTCTAGTGATGTTTTCAGTTTCTTCGATCTGCTTTAAATGAGCTATAGCAATCCGACGGGTTTTTTTTTTCAAGATAAAAACTCAGCGACAGACAAATTTTTTCTCGAAACGGTTTTTTCCTCAGAGTTATGAGCTCAATTGTATGAACTCGGTTGCAAGGGGGGGTTAAGGAAAAAGAAGAAGAAGCCCTCAAAGTTCTTTCCTCAAAATCAATACATTATCTATATCGTCCCCTGGAAAAATTCTTCATTCACAGGGAGCAATTTCACTGAAGGTAGGCAAAATTTTTGAATATCAATGATCGTCTTCTTCAAAAGCGAAAGGAGTTATTAACCTTGAATATTTCCCAAGCAGCTCAGTGCAAAAAACATATCCTCGCACTTGTAAATTGCATCCATTGGAACAATTTCACTCCAAGTTTCAAAAAATAGGTCAGTTGCGCGAAAGATTTCTGTACAGAGGTGCAATCCCCGGACTCCATAGGACAGAGCAGATTGTTAATTCTTCGATCAAATTACTCCCTTGCAACTTTGAACTTATCAGAAACTTGAAAACTGTTCCTGAGAGGGCAAGCGCCTTGCTATCCTGTTTGGCAGTATGTAATTTTGAGAAACGAATAATCTAAAGGTAGTCATAGCCGCAAAGACTACAATTTTTGAGCAAATGTCTAAATATCCGCGACTGAAAAATTGAAAGGTTACCGTACACAAGGGCCCGTAGTAAACCCCCCATCCGGGCATCTCTCTCGACGCGGACCGGAGTTGAGGTCATCGCGCTTCAGTCCAGCATCCAGTGAGCTATTGATTTGGATGTGGATCGCTTCCTAGACATGATAAACACATGTGTTCTCAAAAAACCAAACGGTTGAGCTGGTCTGGTCAAACGGATAAGCGATTGGAAGCACACGCACGCGGTCGTGGTTCGACACCGGCTAGCGCCACAACTTTTGCTGCATCGCCGGACAATCTTTGATAGCGGCCACTGTCGAAAAAAATCGATGATGACCGCTAACAAGGATATCACTTAGCAAATGGACAGATGAAACAAAACTGACATATTTTGACGGAGAATTCATGAAAAACTGAAATTTTTGGAACATAAATAAAACGTAATAAATAAGTAGATTCTCTTCTAAAGTAGTTTTTACAAGAAACTAAGATTGCTCTGCAAAAAAAAGAAAACTTTTATCCTTGCTTTTGTCGCCAAAATCAGCTGTTCATCGATCCTTCCCTTTTCGGGCGCCGGTATTGTGCAGTTTTGCGCCGATTTTTTCTGCATTTTTTGGCAAAGTTGTGTGTATCGTAAGTTACTCAGGAGCAACTTATGTTAGATGCAGTCACCTCTTGTCTGCGTCTCCTCTTCTACACACTATTTGGTTCACTCTAACATCCGTTCACGTTGAGGTGACTTAAACGTGAACTGATGTGGAAGAGTTGACTGCGGCAGGTGGACAGATGGTCAACTATCAGTTGACTTGACCATCTTATAGCATGGGAACGTGGACGGTGATCAGTTCACCTCACCTAAGGTGAACTGATGGGATAAGTTGAGTTCACCTCAACTGATCGAGCTTTACTACGGGCCAAGTTCGCACTGTTCGCTTCCAATTAATCAGCTGATAAAATGCCAATACTGTACGGAATTTAGTTGGTTGTTGGCATAGCAATAATGTACGGTAGAATGTGTGGGCTGTTCCTTTGAAGCATTTGTTAGCCGCACTTTTCTCAAGATCATTCTGGCTCAAGAGAAGCACTCCATAGGATTATCAAAATAATGATAATAGTTTTTCCGTATCTGCTACTGACTGTTAGAAAATCTACGAATATTTCTTGATTTTTTATGGAAAACGAGTTTGTCAGACTTTCGTTACCATGGAACATTGTTGTAAAGTTTATTTATCATAACTGCTGTTCTCTTTCCAGTAAATATGGAAATTGACAAATAAGTTTGTTGACGAGGTTCATCTGCTTCAAAATTAACCCAAGAAAAATGTTGGCATCTATGAAGTTTGAAGTAAACCTTTTGCGTATAATCTCAGCTTGCAGGTACTTGCTCGACAAGTATGGTTTACGATTTTCTATCCTACTTGGCGCCACTGGCAACGCTCTTGGAGCGTGGATTAGGATACTCTCTACAGATCCTGGTAAAAAATTCTCTGAAATGAGGATTGCATGCAAGAGAACACATTTAGATGGTTTCTGGATTACCTTCATTGGTCAAAGTATAGTAGGTGCTTCGCAGATGTTCACCCTAGGAGTTCCTCCTCGACTGGCTGCTGTATGGTTCGGTCCAAATGAAGTGTCCACAGCTTGCGCTGCTGGAGTTTTTGGAAACCAGGTGCTATTTAGTGGTCTTCACTTTTTTTTAAATGATTGTTTTTTAGCTGGGTATCGCAATCGGTTTTCTCGTTCCTCCACTTCTGGTTCACAACGGGACCAAGGAGGAAGTCGCCTATGATCTCAACAAACTTTTTCTCTGCTCCGCAGTCCTGAACTCTCTCGTTCTCGCAGTTATAATCTGCTGTGGGTTCTCCTTCTCTATTGAGCACTTTCTTCTGCTTGAAATTGCATTTTAAGTCTTCTCTGCCCGACCTCCAACTCCACCGAGTCTAGCCCAAATCACTGCTCAAGAAGAGAAAACTATCGACAGCAACTTTTGGAGAACTCTTGGAAAACTTCTCACTAGCAGAGATTTCATTCTGCTCTTCGTAACATACGGTAAGTAAAAGCATCACGGCGAATGCTTGCAGCATGAGTCGACTGTTAGCAGCCACGATGTAATGGTTGTAGTTAAAAGCATATAAACACCTCGCAGGCGAACAAAACGACTTGAGACCTTTCGTCGAAAGCATTGCCAGAATAGAGGGCCTTTTTAAAAATGCTAGCAACGCATTATGGTTTTGTCCACTTGCTACATGAAATTTTCTTAAGCAGATATTTCAATTTTCCAGTCAAAATGTGAAAACTTTTACAAATTTAATCGCATCGCTAGATGTGCTGATCTTGATGTCCACTTGTTCCAATCTAAAGGTGCGTTATAGCGTTATTAGAAAATGACCATTTAATTATCTTATATTCAAAAGCAATGTTGCCCTCTTTACCCGCTGCTTACACCCTCGTCTCTGAGCCACAAATGAGTAACTTCATTCAGAGTTGTGAGGGGCTTTCGTAGCAGGTTTTGAAGTTACTATAGAGGTATTTAAAAATATGCAAGTGGCTGGTTCTCTTGCAAATAAATAACATATTTTAACTTTCTCGGAAGCATGGCGGTTAGAATTCATGGAGATTTTGGGAAGCCAAAAAATCTAAAAATTTGTCGGTGCGTGGCTAATGCCTTCATCTGAGAAATTTTCGTCCATCACCCCGAACGGAAATACTGGGAGCGCTACTGCTGCAACCATGTAATGTTCGAAAACTAGCCGTATAACTAAAACAGACGACTTTTATCAGATCTTTTTATAAGAAAGGGGAAATGAGGCGTTATAAGGTATAAACCAAAAGGGATCATTGAGGAACATATAATTTACAGTTTGGCGCTGTAAGCATCCTTGTTTATCATCCACATCAACAAACAGCAAGTCATTGCTGATTGTGGCTTAACTTTCAATTTTTAGAAACTTTTCGTTCAAAATCTAATTTTCTTCAATCTGATTTGCAGTGCCGCTTTGATAGGTCACTTGAATGGAACTGAAAAACGAATGGAACTATGAATCTGTTTTACGTCAAGCACACAAATACTAGCAATTTCTGACTATTGTTTGTAGAGTTCTTTTTTTGATAACCACTAATGATAATTTCTGAGAATGCTGCAATGATGTTTTATGCTTGACTGGGAAGCTAGGTTACAGGGCTTTCATTTTAGGGTAATATGGTATCATAAACTAATGTATGATAGCTTTGAACCAGTAGTAACGGCGCGATTTAGGCATCAATACCGGTGTATTCTACGCAGTATCGACGTTGCTAGCTCAAATGGTGCTTCCATTCTATCCAACAGAATCCGAGGCTGTAGGACAAATTGGAGTTACAATCGTTGTAGCCGGAATGCTTGGCTCGGTCGTTGGAGGTTTCTTACTGGACAGATTCAAAAAATTCAAGTATGCTCCCTTCCTCTCCCTCCTCACCTTGATCTACTACCTTACTTTCAGAATGACCACTTTACTCGACTACCTCTTCTCATTCTGCGGTATGCTCTCCTTCACTTTCACACTCAACCTCGGTTCCATAGTTGTAGTCTTCATAAATGCGTTTCTGCTTGGGTAATTCTGAGAGACATCTACCGAACATTGAGCATAACGAAAGTTCAGGTTCTTTATGACCGGTTATTTGCCAATCGGTTTTGAATTTGCGGCAGAAATCACTTTTCCTGCTGCCGAAGGTACAACTGGTGGTCTTTTGAATGCCAGCGCACAGGTGGGAACGAAGGCATAGTGAAGTCGAAAGCAGAAAGAAGGTTTCAGATTTTTGGCATTGTACTGACGTCAGCAATGGGCTATGTGATGCACGGGATAGGCACGTTTTGGTGCAATATCATCATGAGCACGGCTCTTATCGTCGGCACTCTTCTCACAGGTTTGAAATCTTGAAACAAATTGTGATGCAGCATATCGTTTCTTGCAGCCCTCATAAAAGAGGATCTGAAGAGGCAAAAGTCCCATGCGAGTCACGCAAATCTTCCGGTACGTTTTAATGCTAGCTTTAGTTTCTACCATACCTTCCTTCCAGACTTCTGCTACTCAACTCACCAGCTGCACAATAGCCAACGATTAAACCTCATGACGAAACGGAATCACTTCTCCTATCCACAATAGCCTAGCTATAGCATACATCGATATATTGGATATCTCTCACTCAGAGCTTTTACGCCAATGTTCTCTTCCATGAGCTAGTCAAATTTCGGCACCAACGGTCTCTTAGAAAACACCTTTACAGAGAAAAGTTGATTTCTGTAAAGGGACCAACTACGGATGTTCCTTACAGTAGCACTGTATACCACCGCGTACGCTCGGATTCCAAAAATCAGGGAGCTTAAAAAGCACTGCACGGAGGCCTTCACATTTCTTCAACTCTTAAGCACTTTGTACAGAGGTCTTCACTTAGCTCGGCACGTGTAGTATTTGTTGAATTTCGGTGCATTTGTTCGTGTCAAACACTTATCTGACCAGTGTTCCATTACGAGTGTAGATTAGCTTACTCATTACCATCCTGCATGCAATGATCTACCATATTTTGTACTGCGCCCTGTGCGTCATATAACTTCAATAAGAATAAAAATCTGTCTTATGTGTGTTATCGTGACTCACTTCTCTCCTCACGTTCCCCGCGAACGGTCGGATGACTCCTAGCTCTGACCTACACTATCAAAGAATAAGAGTAGGAAGGTTCGGTTAAAGAAACCGCATCTTCCCTGGACGAGAAGACATACACCGGAGCGATGTCGGCAAATGCTATAGAGGAAAACAAGGGTAATCTCAGACACTCGCCATTGACTCCCGCAGGAGATCCGCCCACAAAATAGGCGGTCGCACCAAAATCCGGTGCACCGGCGGGAGCCATCATTTTAGTTTTATCCCGATTTTGTTGCGGTTTTGTCCCGAAGCGCGGGCGCATGTCTGAACGAGTACAACTTCCAATTATTGAGTTCATTCTGTATTGCTGCCGAAAGCGTCAGTTTCATTTTCAACTCAACTTCCAAGGAAGCTCCGCTCTTATTTCCTGAGTCACACATAAGCCAGGCTTAACATTATTCCTGCACCCCAGGTTTTTAAGTCCAGGTTTTTTGCAAGTGGGGTTTGCAATGCTCAAATTGCCAACAGATCAGTTCATGTCAACGATATACAGTAATTAGCCAACGTCCATTGGCCGAAATATAAGATGTCCCAATCAAACAGAGCCTAAAACTTGTTGAAAGGCTTTGTTTTCGCTACATTTTCTTAGAAGTACTATGAGGACGAAAAAATCATATTTCTTTTTCTTATTTGAGTATCCTCTCTTCCCTCTAAGAACTTCAGAACTGCTTCTTACGGTGAATCCCTATGGCGTTGGGGTTATTTTTTAAGGCGGTTTCATTAGTAATAACTATTTTGCTAGGTACCCCATCTCTACTTGCGTTAGGTGCACTTTAGCAAGACTAAATTCTAAAATTATGATTAGAAAAAACACGGTATTTACCTTTTGCTAGTACATCTAAGAAAGGGCTAAAACAAAGCCTTTTAAGAAGGTTTAGGCTCTGTTTGTTTGGAGCATCTTATTTTTCGGCCGGTGGACGTTGGCCAAATATTATACGTTCATGTCAGCCCCTCATGTTGGCTTTTTGAAGGTGGAAAACTTTTTCAAACAGTGTGGTTTTCAGTAGTTCATTGGTAACATTAGGTCTTGACCTCACGATAGCATGTTAATGTTTTCTTTTATTACTGTTGCGGCTTGTAGAGGCCGTCCTCCGCGTTTCATTCACCCAACCCTTACATCGAGCTACATCTCTCAATTTACATGATGCTTTTATTTGATCAACAGTGATGAGAACTTATAGGGATGTTTATAAAGAGATGTTCATTACTTATATATCAAAAGAAAAAAAAAAAGAAAAATTAAAGAAAGAAACAAACTAACAGTAAACAAAACAAAATCTTGCTGCAACAGAGTACATGACATGTACACAGAGTACACCATGTATATGGTCATGTACTCATGCTGTATACTGTCGTGTATATACTTATACTTATATATATACTATACTATACATATACTATACCATATACAGTGATCGCCAGAAAGTTGCAGACAAGCCTCCCTCCCTTTTTCATCGCTCTTTTTCAGGGTGAAAACAAGGATGAAAAAGTGTAATAAATGCATGAGGTGATAGAGCTCTTCAAGATCTACAATCTACACTTTGAGTTTTCTAAGAAACATGTGTCCCAAAAATTTTAAGAATCTTTTTCTAAAAAAAGTCCAAAAATGGCCGCGTCACAATGTCGCGGACGATAATTCTTCGAACGCAAAAATTTTCTTTTGAGTCCTATTTTAAAGCGGAAACACAAGTTATCCAGACGGGTAAGCATACTAATATACAGAGCTCGTCAAGAACTACACACTGGTTATGGTTGCTTCCCCAGAAAGAGCAGGCTTGAGTTTTATTTTAGTTTTTCAAAAAACAACTTTTAATTTCCTTTCTTTAAGCCAAATTTCTCCGCATGAGAACCCATTCAAGACATTCCAACAAAGCTATTCGGACAAAATGGATGCTCTTTGCCATTTTTCATGCATCGGACGTGTGCTGGTGAGATTCTTTGCTGAAAATGGCTCTTGACAGTGCGTGCACATGACCCCACCTGCACATCACCACTGACTTGTACCGCTTTGCAGGCTTGTAACTCGGCCTGCAGTCAATATTTGAGCCTGCAATTAGGCTCATTCGAAAGCACGAGACTTCCTCCACACGATGGAATGCAGATATGTTTACTTTAAGCAATCCCAGAAAAATGGCGGATGGGGTGAAAAAGTACAGCCTTAGAGGTGATTGGAGTGAAAGCTCTTATGAACACCAGAACAGTCTTAGAGCTTCGAAATGGATCTATTACAAGAAAATTGACAGTTTTGAACTTCCGGAGTGGAACTAATAGCGAAAGGAGCTCTCTTCAGCTTTAGCTGAAAAGTGCTTAGACTACAACTGAAGCTGCCCTCTACCACCCCATCCGCCATTTTTCTGGGATGGCCCAAAGTTAACTTATCTGCATACCATCGTATAGAGGAAGTCTCGTGCTTTCGAATGAGCCTAATTTCAAGCTCATATAATGACTGCAGGCCGAGTTACAAGCCTGCAAAGCGGTACAAGTCAGTGGTGAAGTGCAGGTGGGGTCATGTGCACGCACTGTCAAGAGCCATTTTCAGCAAAGAATCTCACCAGCACACGTCCGATGCATAAAAAATGGTAAAGAACATCCATTTTGTCCGAATAGCTTTGTTGGAATGTCTTGAATAGGTTCTCATGCGGAAAAATTTGGCTTAAAGAAAGGAAATTAAAAGTTGTTTTTTGAAAAAGTAAAATAAAACTCAAGCCTGCTTTTTCTGGGGAAGCAACCATAACCAGTGTGTAGTTCTTGACGAGCTCTGTATATTAGTATGCTTACCCGTCTGGATAACTTGTGTTTCCGCTTTAAAATAGGACTCAAAAGAAAATTTTTGCGTTCGAAGAATTATTGTCCGCGACATTGTGACGCGGCCATTTTCGGACTTTTTTTAGAAAAAGATTCTTAAAATTTTTAGAACACATGTTTCTAAAAAACTCAAAGTGTAGATTGTAGATCTTGAAGAGCTCTATCACCTCATGCAATTATTACACTTTTTCATCCTTGTTTTCACCCTGAAAAAGGCGATGAAAAAGGGAGGGAGGCTTGTCCGCAACTTTTTGGCGGTCACTTTATATACTTATACTTATATACTTATACTGTCATGTACCCATGCTTCCCTATCTTACAAACGAAACTTCAGACGACGAAAACGTGGACAAAGAAAATGTCCTTCCGGGCGACTTTATCGGCACTCCATCCAATAGTCAAGTCAATGTGCCGTCGAGCAGTCAAATCAACAGGAACAGTCCTCGCAAACGCCGCATGGGCATTGAAAATTTTCCATCAGCTTCTTGTGGATTGCAGCCACAAACGATACCCTCTTTTTCTACATCTTCCACAGGTTACTGTTGCGTTCGTTTTCGTATCGTTCTAATGTCTGGAATGGGATAGGAGTATTTTTAGGGGCTTTAAAGCGAGTCCTGAAGAAAAACACTCTGTCGCTTGCGGAGTTAGGGAGAGTTGTGCGCCGATTTGACATCACTGTCGAAAATGAGGTGATAAAACATATATATGTTTTGCTGAGAGTAATGAGAATATTCATGTAGTTTAAGGAGATGCTCACGTCCAAGATAAGCGACATCAAAATCAACACGCAGCACGTGAAAAATATGCAGACAAGCGTCGAAACACTTCCAAGTTCATCAGACTCGGTTGTCCGAGCTCTTACTTCTGTCGTGAGGGAGCAAATGAATACCATCGCAGGATTGTCTTTAACAGTAAGCGTGATTTCACAGGGTTCAAGAATAACAATTGGCGTGTTTGCAGGTGAACGCCCTTTTATCGAAGTTGAGGGAACAAGATAGAAAATTGAAAAGGACCTCTTTTCACGTTGCAAAAAATCGGGAGCAATCGTTGCCAAAGGATTACTCACTACAGAGAAGTAACATATCCAGGGTTTGGCATCTTGAAAGTGCGCTCCCCTTCAAGGTCATTTCGAGATTATTCTCAGTCGACGAGGAAGAAAGTATTGATTTTAGAAGATGAATATGATCGGAGTTATGGAGAGGTGGCAGAGACCAAAACGCGCTCACAAGCATGACCATTTCCTGTTTTGGTACTCGACTTTTTGCGGCACTTCTTTCTACATGTAAGCGACAAATAGATGAAGATGATAAGGTTGTCTCGTAATCACCGTTTAGGCCTGCGAACCCTTAACGGAAATTCGAAACTACGCTTGTAGACAGAGCGGGAAGAAAGGATAATTTGATCATCTCAAAGACCTCCCAGAAGGATTGGTCGATTTTCTAATAAGTTGGTCAATGTGTATTCAAGTATATTACTTTCAGTAACTGATTTAGGTTTCGTCCTTGACGCTCTCGGCCTGTACCGCGACGAACTTCTGCGGACGCCAGATGAGCATAAGCGGAATCCAAATAGGTATGTATGTCCTCGGAAGACCTTTATGTGCAGTAGAATTTAGGTGGTGGTTGTCCTTAGCAGAGGATGCGGTGGTCGCGAGAAACTTTTCAACGTTCTTTCAAAAAAAAGAGTTGTATGGAGCGGTCAAGCAAGAATAGCAATAGGGAGAGCCTTGTGAGTTTTCTTATACGGAAGAAGCGATACTTCTGAACTATAATTTTACAGGGCAGACATTCGAACATATCATTTTGACCCTGAAAGTTCCGCTCTTCTTCCATCAAAGGTGATTCATCTGTTTTATGTGATCCTGGTATCAATAAGTTTTGTTTTTAGAAAAAGCGTGTCGTAATCGAAGACACTGAAGGCAACGGTATCCGTATCACTAAGGAAGACCTGGTAATTCAGAAGACCGAATGCGTAGAAGATGAAGTCGAGGACATCGAGAAAGCCTGATGCTTTGTCTACATTTCTGTTGTAGTTGTTCGTAGCCTGCTCCGAATCTGTGTTAATTGTTAATAAATTTTACGACGTAAGATTGGGTTTTACTAGCAGAAAGTTACAAGCG